TACATGTAAAAAAAAAAAAAAAAAAAGATACACTATGGTTGTGATAAAAAATAAATAAATAAATAAATAAAAAAATTAAAAAAAAAAATAAATAAATAAAATTAAAAAAAAAAAAAGAATTTGTCCATGACACCTAGGTTATCTAATTTGTTGGCATATATCTATTCATAGTATTCTCTTATAATCCTTTTTATTTCTGTAAGGTTAGTAGTAATGTTCCTACTTTTTCTGATTTTTACCACTTGTAGTATTCTGTCTTTGTTTGTCTAGCTAGAGGTTTGCTAATTTTGTTATATCTTTTCAAAGAACCTCTTTTGATGTCATTGATTCTATTATTTTCCATTCCCTATTTTGTTAATCTCTGTTCTAAACTTTATTATTTCCTTACTTCTGTTAGTTTTGGGTTTCTTCTTTTTAAGCTTCATAAGGTATCAATTTAGGTTATTAATTTGAGTTCTTTTTAATGTAAGTGTTCACAGCTATAAATTTCCCTCTGAGCACTGCTTTTACTGCATCCTATAAATTCTGGATGCTATGTTTTCATCTTCACTCATTTCAAAGTGAAATCTAATTTCCCTTGTGATTTCCTTTTTGACCTATTGGCTATGTAATGAGAGTGTGTTTTTTACTTTCCATGTACCTGTAGCTTTTCCTTCTGTTAAAGACTTTTAGTCATTACACTGTGATTAAAGAAGATATTTTGTGTGATTAAAAAACTAGCTTTGAGGACTAATATATGGTTTATTTTAATGTGTTCCAGGTGCACTTGAGAAGAATGTATACTTGGCTGATGTTGGGAGTGTATGGATGTCTTATATATGTCTGTTAGGTACAGTTGGTTTAAAATGTTAAAATCCTCTACTTCTTTACTGACCTAGTTATTCTATTTAGCATGTTCTTTAAAAAGCATGGTATCACCAGCATACAATACTAAATCCAAGATGACACAGGTTTTGAATATGACTGGACAAGGATTTCACTAAGGTACCTTTATCACCAACATACACAGATTCAGACTCCAGTAGACATCAGTTTAATACAATGATAGAAATGAATCCTGGGATATATATGGCTATTTCTTCTCCCCAAATTGCAGAGCTGCCATTTGACTGGTGTCTTTTATTTGTAACTCGGCAATTGTATACTTTGAGTTAATGAAGACAGTTGTACTGAAACATTTTCCTATTGTAGTTTGTCCCCTCAGAATTCCTACTTTCTTTGTTACTTTGAGAGTGTATGTTACTACTCTTTCTTAAACTTCTTGATTTAGCTACATCTTCTGTTTCTTTTAAAGATCTTATCTGTATTGTTTAGTTTTTAGTCCAAGAGGTTTGACTTTGAAAGCCAATCAGAATTGTCCCTCTTTTTGGCAAATTAAGCTCATAAAAACTAAATTGAGCTCCCCAGCCACTGCTGCATTGATATTATCAACCTCGAGTATCTCAGACATACAAAAATAGGCATGCATTTCTTGCTTATGGGTCTGGGGAAGCTCTATTTCATAATGCCAGATGGGTTCATCTCTGCTTAATGTATTTCTCACTCCGGGGCCAGTAGCTATCTAGGACATGTTGATCTTACAGCAGAAGACAGAGGCCAGCAGGTCAAGCCAAACCAGGTAAAACATTTAAAGTGTCTGCTTGAGTCACATCTGCTAACAGTACAATGGCTTCAACAAGTCACATGGCTAAGGTCAACAGAGCAAGCAAAGTCTCTGTTCATAGGAGCATGGATGGCGGAGTAAGTATTTACTGAACAGTAACACCATCAACGACAGGCTAGCAAATAAGATAATCAGGAGCAACATAATAAATTTTAAGTTAAATTGATTTAAATTAAAGGACTCATTTTGAAGTTAAATCCTTTCTCCTATTTAAAATAATAATTTTTTTTAAAATTAAATGATAATAATAGAAGACTTTTAAAATAGTAGGCTTTTAAAAAATTCTTATCACTTGACAAAATAAAAAGGTGGCAACCCTCTGCAAATTTTAGGACAATTTTACTATTCTACAAAAATCTCGAAGTCTCCTACAAGAAAAAAAAAAAAAAGTACAGACCTCTGAATGCAATCCCAGGTCTCTGGCTGGTGTCCACTATTCACAGGATATTCCTTGGCTTGCAAAGACACTCATTTTCCCCCTTCAAAGATTTCATTATTCCAAATGCTTGTGATTAGGAAACTCCATGTGTTAGAGAACTAAAATGTCATTCTTTCTTTCTAGTGGTCTAATTTAAGTTTTACATTAAAAAATGGTACCATTAACTCTTCCGTCTCTATACAAACTTGGTTTTTTAACACTTGGGACTCTACTATCTTAATGCCATGTAAATCTTTCATGTCTCTGACATGAAAATTTTAACAGGCAGTACATAAAAAATAATGGCCTATAACTCTATAACTTTAAAAAGAGCTACTGAGAAGATTAAAATTTAAAAAGAAGCTAGTGGTGCTCACTTTGGCAGCACATATACTAAAATTGGAAGAATGGCCAAAGTAATCTTGAGAAAGAAGAATGGAACTGGAGGAATCAACCTGCCTGACTTCAGACTATACTACAAAGCCACAGTCATCAAGACAGTATGGTACTGGCACAAAGACAGAAATATAGATCAATGGAACAGAATAGAAAGCCCAGAGATAAATCCACAAACCTATGGGTCACCTTATCTTCGACAAAGGAGGCAAGGATATACAATGGAGAAAAGACAACCTCTAACAAGTAGTGCTGGGAAAACTGGTCAACCACCTGTAAAAGAATGAAACTAGAACACTTTCTAACACCATATACAAAAATAAACTCAAAATGGATTAAAGATCTAAACGTAAGACCAGAAACTATAAAACTCCTAGAGGAGAACATAGGCAAAACACTCTGACGTAAATCACAGCAGGATCCTCTATGACCCACCTCCCAGAATATTAGAAACAAAAGCAAAAATAAACAAATGGGACCTAATGAAACTTAAAAGCTTTTGCACAACAAAGGAAACTATAAGCAAGGTGAAAAGACAGCCCTCAGATTGGGAGAAAATAATAGCAAACGAAGCAACAGACAAAGGATTAATCTCAAAAATATACAAGCAACTCCTCCAGCTCAACTCCAGAAAAATAAATGACCCAATCAAAAAATGGGCCAAAGAACTGAACAGACATTTCTCCAAGGAAGACATACAGATGGCTAACAAACACATGAAAAGATGCTCAACATCACTCATTATCAGAGAAATGCAAATCAAAACCACAATGAGGTACCATTACACACCAGTCAGGATGGCTGCTATCCAAAAGTCTACAAGCAATAAATGCTGGAGAGGGTGTGGAGAAAAGGGAACCCTCTTACACTGTTGGTGGGAATGCAAACTAGTACAGCCGCTATGGAAAACAGTGTGGAGATTTCTTAAAAAACCGGATATAGAACTGCCATATGACCCAGCAATCCCACTCTGGGCATACACACTGAGGAAACCAGATCTGAAAGAGACACGTGTACCCCAATGTTCATCGCAGCACTGTTTATAATAGACAGGACATGGAAGCAACCTAGATGCCCATCAGCAGATGAATGGATGAGGAAGCTGTGGTACATATACACCATGGAATATTACTCAGCCATTAAAAAGAATTCATTTGAATCAGTTCTAACGAGATGGATGAAACTGGAGCCCATTATACAAAGTGAAGTAAGCCAGAAAGATAAAGACCATTACAGTATACTAACACATATATATGGAATTTAGAAAGATGCTAATGATAACCCTATATGCAAAACAGAAAAAGAGACACAGATGTACAGAACAGACTTTTGGACTCTGTGGGAGAAGGCGAGGGTGGGATGTTTCGAGAGAACAGCATCGAAACATGTATATTATCTAGGGTGAAACAGATCACCAGCCCAGGTTGGATGCATGAGACAAGTGCTCGGACCTGGTGCACTGGGAAGACCCAGAGGAATCGGGTGGAGAGGGAGGTGGGAGGGGGGATCGGGATGGGGAATACATGTAAATCCGTGGCTAATTCATGTCAATGTATGACAAAACCCACTACAATATTGTAAAGTAATTAGCCTCCAACTAATAAAAATAAATGGAAAAAAAAAAAAAAGCTAGTGAGAAAAAAATAAATAAAAAGAAGCTAGTGGCTTTACTTCCAGTGTGAAAGGACGCATACTTAGTAGTTTTATATTTGTACAAGTATTTATAAATACTAGCAATTTTATCATAGCTTTTTCAAACATTAAAACTATGCAGAATAGCAGAGCAGTGGTTTTTGTTTTCTTTTTGTCTGTGTGTGGTTCAGTTTGCTCTGTTAAAGCAAACGAGGCGACTGGCATTCCTCTAATGACTGCTTTACTTCTGATTCCTCAGCTTATTTCCACCTCCTACACTTGGTCTTCATCTTCTTCTTTACTTGTGATATTCTCCAGCCTTAGGCACTAGTAAAATGTTATAGCTCCCTCATCTGTTCAATCTAGACGGGGGTGGGGGTGGGAAGGTAGAATATAATATTGAAATGTACTGTATTGAGTATCTACAGAAAAACTTTAGACAGAGACTTTCGAATTTGTCAAAACACTAAATTTCCCATGAGTCTTGCTTTAGCAAATGAGATTCTCAGTTCATTATTAAACATTAACTTACCAGATAGAATCTGTGAAATAACTTCACAGAATGGCAAATGCCTTTTATTATATTATCCTACTGATCCTGTTCAATGTTTGACCTGATATATACTTAGATTTCATAAACACGCAAATCTAAAATAAGAGGGAGAGAGGCACCCAAAAACTAGTTAGGGAATTTTCCACTGAGATGAGAATTCAACTTCACTGGTTTTGAAACTCCTGTTGGTGCCATACTTACACTTTAAAAAGTATGCTTCTTTTATAACATTTTGTATAATATATGTAGAAATTTACATTTTCTTTAATTTTTAAAATGTAGTTCTCATTAACGTAAGATGAAAATTCAAAAATTTTGTTGTAACATAAGCAACATACCTGCACGTATGATCATCACTCACACTTGCAATTTCTTGGCCTTCTTTGGGATCAAATACCAAACCATTAATGAAATCTGAGTGGCCCTCTAAAACCTGATATCAGGGGAAAAGTTAGTAAGAACAAAAGAAAATAATCTACAATATTCCGACCTAATATTTTTACTTCACTGCTTTCACTGCATGCTTCTCTTTTCTATAAATATTTCTTAAGCAATCTGCTATTTTTAAAGCATGATTTATATACCCACTTTTTGGGAAGGTTTATCTTGGAAAGAAGCTGATCATTCAACACAGTTATTAGCTTGATCTTTCTTTTCTAGTATGCATTTCTTACAAAAACACACACACTTTGTTTTTATTTTTTTAACTGTACCTGTCCTCATATCACCTCATTTCTCACTTATTATATAAAGCTTATACAAAAGTTAAAGCTAGGAGAACTTTCTAGGAGCCCTGAAATAAGAGTCCCCTTTGGATTTTGTCTCATACCTGCTGCTCTGTACACTGGCTGCTACCTAATAAACAGATAGCAGGGACTTCAACTTCTACTGTCTTTATTCATTGGCTCAATGTGACTGCCAGCACTGGAGACAGCTAGAATTATAAGCCCATTATCAAAATAACCTAGAAAAACTCTTTTGGCCACAGAAGGAGCAAATGGGAAGTTGTAAATTAGAGGACTATGCATACAGGTTAAGGTCCAATTAGTCTAAATCTTTATAACTGAAATCCTGAACAGGCCTGTTAGATATCAGATATTTAAATAATTTAATGGATATTGTTTTTGCTTCCTAGCTTACCTTCCAAACACTTGAATTTGATCTCAGTTATAAGATTAATAAAGTAATTCTATTTGGTACTGCTTACTATTTGGAAATGAGGGAGAAAAAAAGGATTTTATTCAAACATTCTGGTGTAAGTTTAACAAGTCCAGGTCCTTCTTCAGCGCTATGTCACAGTTTCTATAAACCACATCACATTAACTATTTAATGTCTTTTTTAACTGGCAATAATAGTTAATAACTATTGACTTTTGATGGGTCAAAATTCTATGTGTCACTGTACACTCAGATGTTCATTGATACAGCTTTAAATAAACTAATATATACAGTGCATTTATTATGGTAAAATTGTATATAGCCCATTGTATATAGCTTAGACCATAACTTTTACTGTTTTCTAAATGATTAGGTTTATAGTTTACCTTTGTTTTATAATATTATCATAGGTTTTATTTACTAGAAAGTCAGGAAGGCAATACTGTTCTTATAAAAAAACATGATTCAATTTCAATCCAAACTGAGAGGTATTTAAAGAATTTCTCCTCACTTTATTGAGATATATAACACTATGTAAGTTTAAGGTGTATAACATGATGATTAGTACATGATGATACACACATACATTGTGAAATGATTACCATAACAGGGTTAGTGAAATGACTACCATGATAGGGTTAGTTAATACTTCTATCACCTCACAAAATTATCAATTTTGTTTTGTGGTGAGAACATTTAAGATATAGTCTTTTAGCAACTTGCAAGATGTAATACAGTATTGTTAACTATACTCATCACGACATACAGTAGACCCCCCAAAACTTACTCCTCTTAAAACTGGAGGTCTGTACCCTTCCATCATCATCTCCCCATTTCCTACACCCTCCACATCCTGAAAACCACCATTCTATTTTCTCTTTCTAAGAGTTCAGCTTTAAGAAGAGCTCTTCACATTAAGTGCAGTCATACAGTATTTGTCTTTCTCTGTCTAACTTATCTTACAGGGTTATTTATCATACCAATAGAAAACTCACATACAGAGCTTACTATGTAAAAAGCACTATTCTAAGTGATTTATATGAATTAGCTCAGTCAATGCTCATAATCCCACGAGGCAGATGCTATGATCATCTCCATTTTACAGGTAAGGAAATGAGAACAAGAGACTGGGAATTTGCCCAAAGTCATACTGTTAACTAAGGTGGCACAGCTGGGCTTCAAACCAGATGTTCTGGCTCCTGTGTCTGCTTCTAACCACGCTGTAGTCCTGCCTTGCACTGCGTTGTACTGAGCTTGTTCCCTTGGAATTCACCTCTTACTCTATGTGTGTTCATGTCTTTTATACCAAGTTTCTAATTCCCTCTCATTCTTGTGCTTACCTACTATTTTAATCTAATAAGTGATATCAGGTTTATAATTTGCAGGCCTTACTATGATCCTAGTCCCTTACTATAGCCTAAAATAGAGTAAATGAGATTCTAAACTACATATTTCAGAGACAACTATAAAGTCATTTTAAATTGGGATAAATTCAATTAAAAAAGCAAAAATAATAAATGTTTTAAAATAGATTTACAAATTAAACTTGTCAACATACCTTGTATTCATTTTTATCTTGAAGATCTGAAGTAAATAATCTAATTTTCATATCAGCAGCAGAAGTACAAAATCTGGAAGTAAGAAAACAAAAATAAGGCCATTTTTAATCTATGTAAGTGAAAGTTCTTCCCACCTTTAACCACCAAAGCTATCTTCATAACTCATAATCATGCTTTTCTTTGGGCAGAAGGAGGATGCTATGGCTCCACTATAAAATCTGTTATACAACTATGACTGAAAGTAGGGGACACAAGTTTGTTTTGAAAATATAAAAATATTAGTATATTGGATTTGTCTCTTTAATTATGAAAGGATAGAATTTCACTATAAATCACCACATGAAAGTTTGTTTTGAAAATATAAAAATATTAGTATATTGGATTTGTCTCTTTAATTATGAAAGGATAGAACTTCACTATAAATCACCACATGAATTTAACATTTAAGTTTTTCTTAAAGGTTTAAAATGATGGGTTTAAAAAAGTATCTTCTTTTAGGTAGGTCAATATAAGGTATAAAAATACAGTTATACATCTACCTTAGTCTTTGCATCCTTCAGTTATCTATAAGCCTTCTTACTTTAAGACACACTAGACTCACTAAATTAGGTGAAAGAATAATCTTTTTGTACCTGGAAAAGCTGGCGTATTTATTACTAAAAGTTGGCATATTATCATACTGACCCTATTATTTAAGGTTATTGTTTAGGTGTATATCAATGCATATTACAAAACAAACTCTAAGCAATAAACAGGTATCTTTTAACTAGTTCGCCTTTAACCCTAGAGTTTTAGATCCTCAGCATATCAGATTACGGCTGAGGAAGAAAGAACTTATATGTCTGTATGCACGCCTATGTGCTGAGTCTCTCAGCTGTGTCCGACTCCTTGCGACCCCATGGATTACAGCCTGCCAGGCAGCTCTGTCCATAGGATTTTTCAGGTAAGAACACTGGCTGCTGCTGCTAAGTCGCTTCAGTCGTGTCCGACTCTGTGCAACACGACAGTCAGCAACCCACCAGGCTCCTCCATCCCTGGGATTCTCCAGGCAAGAATACTGGAGTGGGTTGCCATTTCCTTCTCCAATGCATGCATGCATGCTAAGTCGCTTCAGTCGTGTCCAACTCTATGCGACCCTATGGACAGCAGCCCACCAGGCTCCTCCATCCCTGGGATTCTCCAGGCAAGAATACTGTAGTGGGTTGCCATTTCCTCCTCCAGGAGATCTTCCCTCTAGGTATCAAACCCATGTCTCCTGCATTGGCAGGTGGATTCTTTACCACTGAGCCAGCTGGGAAGGCTTTGTATGCCTGTATTGAAAAATAAAGCTTATTTCCAATTGTCTTTAGGTAAATGAGTACTATATGGATCTAAATTTCTCAAGTTTTGACTCTATTAAAGCTATATTTTTTTTCTCACCTAAAACATTTAGTTTATTTAATTTAAATAAAGCTTAAGTTAAAGCAAGTCTCCTAATCTAGAGATCCAGATATGTTGGTAAATCTCTTGTACCATGCCTTTTCAATGATTAGTTAACAGTCATTCAAAGAAATAGATCAATTAGGCAAAACTAATTTCTGATAACAGAAATTGGATCAATAGTTGCTTAGGCAGGGGATAGGCTACAGGGATTAACCAGAGGAGCACAAAGAATCTTCTGGGGGTCACAGAAATGCTATGTATTACCAGCATGTAGGTTATAAAAGTACATGTATTTGTCAACATTGATCAAACTGTACCTTTAAGAGTTGAGTTCACTCTATGTAAATTATCCCTTAATTTTAAAAAATTAGGTTAGCTCAGTAAGAGCTAAATTATGGTTGTTAAATACTGTTTACTAAAAGGAGACATACATTTTAGATTTGATATTTATGGAAATAAGGCTAGTGTTTTGTAACAGACCTTAAATAACCTGACATACCATTGCATTTGTGAAGAAGGCCTCAGCAAATGTGTTAATTTTTTTTCTCAAAAAGCAGTCATTCTTTTTAAATGCTTTCAACAAAACAGAAGCCCAAGGATTAGAACTAGAGTTTTATGAAAATTTGACCTTGGCCTATGTATGGGGCAGTAAGGTTGATTAATGACTCAACCAAATTTAGTTATTTTAACAAAGCTGCACTTTCAATAAGTGGTAAATTCAGTGAAGAATTTATGATTCATAGGAATCTCACATAAATAGCTTTGTAGTCATGCTGAAACACATGCTTCAAGGCATCACTGTTACGTTTGCATATAAGTCACAAATTTAGACAATAAGCCTAAATTATGAAATAATAGCAAATACTGAAATACCTAATTACCTGGAGTTGGGGAAATGGAGGAAAAACATCCCTATGATTAGAGGCTTCAGATCACTTAACACAAAGGATATTAATAAATGCTGCATTTAATAATTTTCAACTTACTTGATTACTGGAGGCAACGAATCAAGTCTAGTCTCTGGGCTCCAAGCTATGCCATCAACTCTGACTCCATGGTGAAATGTTCGTAGTGTTTTATACTGAATTCCTTCAATGTCTGCTTCTTCCTCCTAAGCATACATAGTAAATGTTTAAATAAGTCATGAGAACAAACAATATAAAACTGTGTATTTTATTATAATGAAGAATTTATCAGGGGGCTATCAATATCCTTTTGAGAAGTTCAAAAAGCAGATTAGATATTAAGGTGGGCTTCCCTGATAGCTCACTTGGTAAAGAATCCACCTGCAATGCAGGAGACCCTGGTTCAATTCCTGGGTTGGGAAGATCCCCTGGAGAAGGGATAGGCTACCCACTCCAGTATTCCTGGGTTCCCTGGTGGCTCAGCTGGTAAAGAAGCTGCCTGCAATGTGGGAGACCTGGGTTCGATCCCTGGGTTGGGAAGATCCCCTGGAGAAGGGATAGGCTACCCACTCCAGTATTCCTGGGTTCCCTGGTGGCTCAGCTGGTAAAGAAGCTGCCTGCAATGTGGGAGACCTGGGTTCGATCCATGGGTTGGGAAGATCCCCTGGCGAAGGGAAAGGCTACCCACTCCAGTGTTCTGGCCTGGAGAATTCCATGGACTGTATAGTCTGTGGGGTCACAAAGAGTCAGACACGACTGAGCAAAATTGGGGCTTCCCTGGTGGCTCAGAGGGTGAAGTGTCCACTGGCAATGTGGGAGACCTGGGTTCAATCCCTGGGTCAGGAAGATCCCCTGGAGAAGGAAATGGCAACCCATCCCAGTACTCTTGCCTGGAAAATCCCACAGATGGAGAAGCATGGTAGGCTACATACAGTCCATGGGCTCACAAAGAGCTAGACACAACTGAGTGACTTCACTTTCACTTTCTTTCAACCAGTTTACTGAACAAAAATATCCAAAGCTGTTTAAGCATTGTAACTCTCTAAGATAACTAAAAACAATATACTTGTTATACTTTATCTCAAGAGACATTTTATTCCTAATAGTAAATATATTTCACAGCAAACACAATGAAAATGGAATGCTCTAAGAATCAGAATGTTCTAGGTAAATGAAGTAATATGCATGGATTATCAAATAACAGTATCAAGAATATATACTGAACAGTTTTGATTATGTATAAGATACCTTGTACTTTATGAAGCCTCAGTCATTATAAAGAGTATCAATGATTTTCATATAATATTACTCATGGCACTAATTGGACACAACTCAGCAACTAACACTTTCACTTTCATACATGTGTGGGATTGAACAAACTTGTTCATCTATACCATTACTATGAATAGTGGATGTGTAAATTACTGATCAGTCTTTTAGATTTGGGTAAGATGTTTAATAAAGTCAGCTTATCTATTTGATTCAGTACTACTAAAATGATTTCAGTTTATTCTCATGGGAAGACAAGAATGAATTTTGAAAAGTCAAGTCATCTTTGGCAATATGGACAATAACCTGAAAAGCTTTTTGACTACAAAAATAATGCAAAAATCCAAATCCAGAGAAGCAACTGAGCACAGAGGCATAAAGCTATCTTAAGGACATCTGCCCACATCCAATAATTAATAACTTTTGTTTGTATGGGACAGAAGACAAAAGTTAGTGCCTACACAAAGAGGGATGCAGATCAGGGACCTCTGCATAGAACCAGGACCTTTAAAGTGGAAGCAGGGAAAACAAAAATCCATGATCCAAAGTGCCATGTAAAATATGTACCATGGCTGAAGGTCAAGAAAAAGAAAAAGTAACTTGTGAGAAATCTCAATTATTGGCTGGCCCTAACATAAGTTTGGGGCTTGAATTCACATTAACTATGTGCTCCAGAAAATGAAAACTTATTTCAAAATGTCCGTATGTTGTTAGTGGCCCCAGGCACTTGACAGATAAAGGCAAATTCTTTTTGGATGAACTTCCTCTACCTAAGTCTCAAAATTCTCATAGATATAGTTCAATCAAATATGATCTTACATGCATGCACTACTACACATGAAAACAAAATACCACAAACACAAACAGAAGAATCAACTTGGAGACATTAAAAAATCAGATTAAAAAAAATGTATATTTGAGGATGTAGATGAGAGAATCAAAAAATATGACTAAGCAACATGAGATTACTCAAAGTGACCAGACAGATATTAAAGAACTAAATGAAAACGTATAGATGAAAATACTATCATGAGAAAAAAATAATGCTCAAAGGAGCTGGAAGACAGATTTGAAAAACTTATTCAGAATGTAGTTAAGAGAAGACAAAAAGAGATGTTAAGAGGGCTTCAGTGAGCAGGCCCACCATATAGCTAATTTGGACTGTAGGGGAAACCAGTAGAGGGAATGGGGGAAGAGGCAAGACTGGAAGAGATAACGGCAAAGGATTCTTCATGCTTGATTACAAGCGCCAATATGTGCATTCAGAAAAAACTAAATCCCAGGGAACTTAAAAAGAAATCTGCAGCTATACACTACACAGTACAACTTCAGAGCACATAAACTCTCACATGCGTGAGATGGGGGCAGCGAGGGAGAAGGAGCAAGAGTGAGATGAGGGTCTTAGCAATAGCAATGAGAAAGAAAAGATAGGTGTCCTAGAAAAGATTAATAATTAGAACAACCATCAGCTTCTTAGCAGAAACAAATGCAGGAAGTCAGTGAAATATCTTCAAAATGATATGAAAAACTGTTGAACTGTAGCCACAACAAACTTGTGTTTCAAGAATGAAGCTGTTTTAAAGGTATTTTCATAAAAACTAAAACCAATGGTTGGCATCAACAAAGTCTCACTAAACGATCTTCTACAGCAGGGGATGGCAAACTATGACCAAGGAGCCAAATCTGGCCTATGGTCTGCTTTGGTATGGCCGGCAAGCTGAAAATCATTTTTATGTTTTTAAAGAGTTGTAAAAAATAAATAATAATTTGCAGCAGCCACCTTAAATGGCTGGCAAAGCTTAAAATATTCACTATTCCACAGAAGAAGTTTAAGTTTTTTCTTGTAATAAAGAATATCTTTCAGGTAAAGAAAAATGACCCCAGAAAGCAGGCCTGAGATGTAAGGAACAGTGAATGAAAAATCAAAGGCAAACATGTGGATTAATTTAAAAAAATACTAGACACATAAAATGATGCTGAATTTGTGGGATAAAATGAAAAGAAAAATGATAAAGAACTAATATATAATAATAATATAAGTCTGTAGTAGGTGATAATAGTTCAAGTGTCAAAGGTTCTTGCTCTATTCATGAAGTAAAGATATTAATTTTAGCTCTGTCTAATTAAGGATGCATATTAAATACCTCTGGTAACCATTAAAAGAAGAGAGATAACATGTAAACTTCCAAACTATCAGGGAGGAAAAAGATGAAAGGAGAAGGTAACAAAACACATGGAATATGCACAGGAATATGCATACCGGCAAGCTACAGGAATATGCAGGCTACACTTTCAATAGTAAAATACTTTTTAATAGAGTAATACACTAATTGTGGTATATTCATATTATAAAATACCATACTACAATGAAGATATATGAACTCTGACATGGGAGAATCTAATAAATAAATGGTTAATTTGGTGGTGGTGGTGCTCAGTGGTGTCTGACTCTTCGCAACCCCATGGACTAGAGCCCACCAGGCTCCTCTGTCCATGCAATTTTCCAGGCAATACTCAAGTGGGTTGCCATTTCCTCCTCCAGGGGATCTTCCCGTTCCAAGGATGGAACCCAGGTCTCTTGTGTCTCCTGCACTGGTAAGTGGATTCTTTACCACTGGGCCACTTGGGAAGCCCTTTAATAACGAAGAGAAGAATAACATAATACCAAATAATTTCACTGATACAAAGTTTAAAACATGAAAAACAATATATTGATTTGCAACACCAATACATGGCAACTGAAGAAAAATGAAATTTCAAACATGGTTATGTCCTGGGGCTGAGAAGAAAAGGGGGTAAGGAAAGAAAACCCAGGGGGCTTCAAAAGAGTTGCTAATGTTCCCTTTCTGAAGATAGGTAGTAAGTATACAGGGATCTACTATTATTATTCTTTATACTTTTTATCAGTAATATATATTTTAAAACACACTGTATAAGCTTAAAATATTGTCATTTAAAAAATAAATCACTTTTTTGTTATTTAAATCAAAACCCTACATGGATGTAGAGACTAAAGCAAAAATTTTCATGACAAAGTTGCCCAAGGAATCTTCTGTGTTAAGTGACTATAGTTATTCTTTATAAAAGTTTCTTATATTATAAAATAGGATCTGGGGGAAAATTCAGGTGAAACTTGATATTTAATTGAATATATATGTCATATAGATAGAAGTTATGTGAAGGATTGTTCTAAGAATTCCATTCATCCTGAATCTAAATCCAAAGTTTTAAAATGTGTACTTTAATTGAATCCTAGTGGATGTGATTTTTCCAGGATAACCTTTGGAATCCTAGCACAATCATTTCACAAACATTACATATACCTTTCTCTACATAATTCAGATACCCCTTGAAAATAACTTTACATTTCAGGTGAACTTAACAGAAAAAAACTTTTTCCATAAAAACATAAAAAGGGAAACAAATGTATTTATCAAGGGAAAAAGAAGTCATTTTATCACATCACAATCTGTCTGTATAATAACTGAATAGTTAACAGCTAGATATGCCAAGGCAGCAATCGCTAAGGAACTGAAAAATGAGGTTAGGAGCCTAATCACAGCTGACTTTACAGTTTGGGTTGTAGCTATTTTTCCACACTGAAAAACTAATCTTTAAAAATGAAATTTTACCATCAAAACACACTATTTTTGCTAATGTAACAAGAGCATTGACAATTAGGTCCTATAATTTGTTATTAAAGTACATACAGAGTTATTGGGTGGTCACTGGGATAAAGAAATCCCAGGGACTATATAGTCTGCATTTTATGTATCACCAGTGAAGCCTTTTTTCCTGGCAGCAATGTCCACCACTGAGCCAACTAAAAGGCCAGGGTGTGTGCGTGTGGTATAGGCAGAGATGAATGCTATTTTGGGTTTAGCTTGAGGTGTAGGCAGTATTGTATAGACAGGAAATTAAGACACTTTGGAAAACTTGCTATAATGCACATCATTATACAAGTCTCCAGCATATTTGAGGTTGGGGCAAAGCCAGGTTGATGAAAGGGCTATTCTAAGGGTTTGAAATTGGCTGTTCCTCCCACCACACCCATTTAAGGCCAAACAGAATTTTAGTTGGATGAGACTATAAAATTTACCTAATCTACTTCTTTCATCTAATGCTTAAATCTCTAGTAGAACATTTGAAAAAAAAGTTTACATAATACTTCTCTGAACATTTCCAAGTGAGAGAGAACTAGCTACTTTCCGTGGGGAATTTATTCAATTTGGGGGTAGTTCTAATTATTAGAACAGTTCTCTTTAACATTAAACCAAAATCTGTTTCCATGTAAATTCTATTCATTGCTCCAAATTTCACTCTCTGGAACCATCACTGAGATAGTTTAACTCAGTGACAACATATGTCTGGCCATTAACTGATCTCCACTAGGTGAACACACTCAAAGAAGCAGTTTCAGCCTTGGTCCTAAAGCACTGTAAGTAACAACTCCACTCAAACAAAATTGATGACATAAAAGTTACCATTCTGAGTCTAATCTCTCTTTCACATGATGGTTTTAAACATTTTAATGCCACTTTGAAATCTGTCTTCAAACACATTATTTCCTTTGAATCATAATACACTGCTAAGAACTGAAGTAAACACTAGAGCATAGGATATAGAGCTGTGGTGTCCAATCTGGTGGCCATCAGCCCCTGGGGTTATTAAGTGCTGGAAAAACGTGGCTGGTCCAAGATGTACACTTTATAAAGTGCAAAATCCACATCAAAGTTCATAGACTTAGTATAAAAGGAATATGTAAGGATTTCATTAATAATCTTTATATTCATTACACACATAAAATATATTGGATATGCTGGGTAAAAATACATTATTAAAATTAATTTCACCTGCTTTTTACTTTACATAATGTGGTTACTATGACATTTAAATTTATATTTGTGGCTCACATTCTATTTCTATTGGACAGCACTGAATTAAATTCCTTTGGCAGCTTAATCCAATTTTGGATTGGATCTATTAAACAATATTTGGATTCTGAGCACAAAGTCTGGCATATAACAGGTGCTCAATAAAAATTTGTTAAATGAAGTCTGTCACCCAAAGCATTAGATAGCCTTTTCAACTTCATGTTCTATATAAATTCAATGTGCTTGTCCAAGTGTTCTCATCCAAGTCCCAGTAGAGGTTGCAATTCATTAAAAAAAAAAAAAATTATTAGAGTATAGTTAATTTAACACAGATTTACAATGTTGTATTAGTTTCAGGTGTATGCAATTCATTACTGATGACCCTTTAAACAGAATTAGAAACCTTCATGCTCCCTCTGCTCTCTCCTTTTACAGCGTTATCTTATTGCATTGCATTTAAACATCTCCTTGAGAGCAGGGTCCTTGCTTTTTTAAAATATGTATCGTTAGTTCCCAGCACCTGATCTGCAATTAATGAGTATTTGACAAATATATGACACCAACCAATAGTACTATCACTTGGTTCAAATTTCCAACATATTCAAAAGAATATCATAAAATGCTGAAATTCAAATTTACTATATCAGTAGTTTTCCTAATAGTCTTAGAGTGAGGATTGCCTTTCTGACAGAAACATGAAATCTTTCAATTCAGTTTTTCCTAGTTTTTTCCCTCAAGATAAGAAACTGAGTGCGACGGAACCTGAAAGTTCTAACATGAGAGACTAGGAACAATGTTCAATGGTGCTTAATTGGATAAAAAAAATAATTTCAGAAGAAGCAATCTGAATCTCCACTGGCAAATTACTGGAACTCATTTCTCTAGAACTGTTTGAACTATGGCTTCAACCTCTCTGAATAGCAGCACAGAAGGAAAAGAACAGGGGTTTAAAAATGTGGTATAGAGTTTGTTTTTTCAGTTATCAGTCAGATAATTGCTTGCATTTCTTTAAAGTAGAAGTAGAATGGAAACTCCATGAGGACAGAGACAGTTGTTTAACTGTATTCCCAATACCTGGTACAGAAGATAATTTGTGTTCACTGCTTGATAGATTAATAAAAGTCCAATTCTTTCCTTAGATTATTTGGGTTTAAGACCCACACTGCCAGCCTCACAGTCTAAGGGTCCACAGGGATAATGCCTATGACCACAAACAGTAACAGAGCAATACAAATGCTTTTGCTCTTTTTTTTTTTTTCTCATTTTGTCACTTTCCATGTTTTGCTTCCTTTTTCTCTCTGCTACCCATCACTCCTTTGCCTTCTTTTTCCTCTCTTCTTGACTTTCTCCCTCAGAATTTCTTAGCTGAACATAAAGCAAAGCATATTTTTTCAGTACTTTTGAATACTATTAGTTATTAATTTCAAAAGCACTGAAGCAAAATTCAATATCATCTGTAGGGGGGTGCTTTATTCTTTTGTAGGTTAATAGTGTGCACTAGAAAAATGGTTTCCCTTCAGTTTTTTTCAAGAGTGTGTTGTATTATTTCTCCTAACTATGTGACTTTTTATGATCCTAACCTGATGAGATCCTAACCTGGTCCAGCTGAGATCAGGCTGAGGGTCATATTCAGCCTAAAAGCTAGAAATTCCTATCCCAACCCTAAGAGGCAATGTGGAATAATGTAAGAACTCCTGTATTCTACTCAGACACCAACCAACAGAAGCTTTTAATTCATACTTTCTCTTTAGGATAAATATACATGCAGTCTAGCTGTGTATAACCTAATACATTTATGCCACTGTAAAACGCCAAATTGCATTTATGATTTTAAAATACTGTAAGATACTGAACTGCCTTCTCAGTAAAAGAGGAAATAATATTTACAATATTTATTATATCACTTTGGTGGTAAAGTTATTTAAAATCTTTGAAAATTGGTCACTGCCAAATTCCCTCACTGCTGCTGCTGCTGCTAAGTCGCTTCAGTCGTGTCCGACTCTGTGCGACCCCACAGACAGCAGCCCACCAGGCTCCTCCAGCCCTGGGACTCTCCAGGCAAGAACACTGGAGTGGGCTGCCATTGCCTTCTCAAATTACCTCACTGATTAAACTTAATCTGGGAAATAGTGTTCCATAAATAACACTCTGATAAACAAAGGATTAACCGGAGATTCCTGAGGGCTGACCTCCCATTGTTCAAATTCTGACACGCAGAACTAGTTTTCCTGTGAGAAAACATGGTGTGTGCCACACCATTAAATATGGGGCTGTGCCTGAGTGTGCCTGACCGAATCGATGACAGTCATATGTATTGAATGTGTCAGATACTATGTAGGAACTGTACATGCTAACTTATGACATTCATACAAAACCCTGTGAAGTACAGTTGACGCTTGAAAACCATGATTTTGAACTGTGTCCACTTATATGCAGATTTTTTTTAAAAACATACGTACTAGAGGACTATATGATTTGCTATGGATGGAATCCATTGAGGAATGAGGGAACTACAGTTACACCTGGATGTTGACTGCATCCAATGGCAGCCCTTACCTCCACAATATTTAAGAGTCAAGTGTATAATTGTTCTCATTTTTATAAAAGAGAGGTTAAGTACCTGCTCAAGGTCACCTAGCTATTAAGAGGTAAAGTCAGGCAGGAACAAAAACCCAGGCATTTTGGTTCTAGAGTTCATGGTCTTAAAGACTATGCTGAATTGCCTGTTCAATTAGTAGATCTCACACTCTGTATACTCTAGATATATAAAAAGCATGAGAGCAACTAGGAAAGCTGGTATCATCACAGCCACAAAATCTCCTGGAAGATCATTTCTAAGCTCTCAATACTACTAGTTTGTTTTTTTTTCTATGTCAAAGTGGAATACAGAAAAGCTGGATTTAGTAATTAATCAGATCTCATTTAATTGGTATCTTCCCTGTATGTAAGAATGTATAGTTAATCATAACCTTCAATTACTAGAACATTCCATTTCTAATCATGAAGCATAAGGCGAGCCTTATGCATGTATATAGCCTTGCCCCTGAATCACAGGGCTTGGGGCGATGACTCTCCACACGGGTGAAAATCCGGGTGTAATCCAGGTGTAAGCCTCCTTGGTGGCTGAGATAGTAAAGACTCTGCCCACAGTGGGAGAGATCCAGTTAGATCCCTGCATCAGGAAGGTTCTCTGCAGAAGGGAATGGCAACCTACTCCAGTATTCTAGGCTGGAGAACTGCATGGACAGAAGAGGAGCTTGGCAGGCTATATAGTCCATGGTGTCACAAAGAGTCTGACACCACTGAGAGACTAACACGTTCACTTTTCTCCCTGTGGGCAGTTCCTCGGCATGTGCAGATTCAACTAACTGCAGACTCTATAGTATCCTAGTATTTTCTACTGAAAAAAAAAAAAAAATTCCATCTATAAGTGAACTATGCAGTTCAAATCTGTGTTGTTCAAGGGTCAACTGTATTCTTCTTTTTCAATACTTATTCAATGTTTGCACAAATATTAGGCATATATTGCTAGAATGTCTCTCTCAGTAGTTCATCTCCCTTTTTTTTTATATTTAAGCTCAATATGCTTTCAAAGTTCAGTGAAAACTGCCCAAGGTTGTGTAAATTTTCTCATCAATGAAACATCTTCACTGTCACTCAGGGCAGTTCTGTACACTAACCTGAAATGTGCAGGTGCCGACAAACACAAAGTTATTGCCACCATATGCAATTAGGTTTCCTGAATCCCCACTCTCAAAGGGATTGAATTCCACCACGTGCACATAATCTTCACAATCCACAGTGTAGGTAGCATTTCTTGTGGCATCTTGCTTCATCTTGTATGGCAAAACTTGTGCAGCTGCAAAAACAGCCTTCTACTGGACAAGGTCACAGAACTGTGGATTACAGCACAGAAACAGAAACCATCAAAGTGTTAGGATGTGATGACAGGCAGCTCAAAAAAAAAAAATTATTCAACTACTTTGTGAGTGATACTTGCAGAGTAAAGTCACTACAAAATTCTGTTTAGCTTATTTAAAGGACAGGGAGTACTTAAAGATGGAATTACACTACTAGGAAATATACTCATAAAAAATTAATGATCATTAACATTATGGAGCTCTACCTGCAAGTGCCACCACTAAGTATTTTACTAACACTACCATGCCTAATACTTGCACAAACCTAAGAGGGAGTTACTAACTATGGTCCCCTTTTTACAGATGAAGAAATCGAGACTTCAGATAGTTAACTAGCTTGCCAATCTCATAAAAGGAGCCAGAATGTGAGACTTTCCTAAGTGTTGGACACCAGTACAAGAAAGAAACACAAAAGCCTGTTTTAAAGGAGCTCACAATCCAGGGTTATTTATGATTCAGTGTGAACAGTACTATAATATAAGCAGATACAAAATATACAATCCGGAGGAAGGAATGCCAAAATGGGATACAAAATAGTATTCATAAAACCAGGCACAAAACTTCAGCTAACATTTCATGGCCTGGTGTGCATTCTGAAAGCAGCATGCCCAGATGAGACTTATAGATTCTGAAGAGGTCACTTTTTTTGTTTGTTTTTGTTTTTAATGGGACGGTAGGAGTTGTCCTGAAAACAGCTGGGCTTGATAGCAAACACATTAAATATCTGATGAGTATTTACTAAGAAATCATATGAGTTCCACCTCGGAAAGTCTATAACCAAGTAACCTTAAGAGTCAGCATCTGGGACTAAACAGTTGTAAAAAGTGACCAACAGGTAAGGCAGCGGTGTGGGAAGTGCAAAAGATTCCAGATCAGGAAACTCGGTTTCTAACTGCTCATTAAAGCAGTGTCGTCTAATTACAGTCTCAGTGTCTCACTGTACAAAGCGGGCTGGACTTACCCCTCTAAAATTGCCAAAACAGTGGAGGGAGGAAACAAGGGAAGTCCACGCATAGCCCTGACACCTCTTCCAGAGCCAGGCAAATCCCGCGAGACCCCGCCACTACCTCCCGGAGCCCGAGGTCGAAAGGAAGAGGGGTGGGGAACGGCCCGAGGAGAGAAGGAACTCCCAGGGACAGAGTGGAGGCGCGTGGCGGCCGGCAGCCGAGCAGGAATGCCCCTTAGGTTCACGCGCGATACGCACCGGAGGACGCCTGGAAGCGGCGAGAGCCTAACTGGGCTCACCTTGGGCTGCAGCGGCGCGCGCCGGCTCTGCTTCCGGGTCAGAGGGCGGGAGCTGCGATTGGCTCCCGGGCCCTCCCGCGAGATTTAAAATGTAAACCCGCTATCTCTCAAACAGTCGCCCTTGTGCAGCCAGCGGGAGCTTTCTTCAGGGGATTTTGCACCTCCCCGAGCCAGGTGAGTGTCATTCTTTTCTCGCCCGTCTGCATGCTTTAAGCTGCGACTTGTGAGGGTTTTTCGGTAACAGCACAGCGCCATGTGGTTGCCTAGAGTAATATTTGTGCAGTGTTTTTGCTCCGGGGCCTGATTTTGGTCTGGGGGTGTTGAACAGAGTTCTTATATTCCATTAATGGAGCTGGAAGGTGCTGAAGGATCATCTGCTGACTGGAAGAATAAAGTCCACAGAGCCCTACTTAGATAGTTAGGCAGGAAACCAGGCTTAGGTAAACTCCGCTTTCGCCCTCTCCCTTTTACTTCCGCCCAAGGAACTGTTAGGACCTGCATTCCACGAGCAGCAACGATGCCCTTTTTTTATTGAGCACCTCCTAAGTGCCCAGCACTAGGTCGATTATTTACTGTCTCACTAACGTCTCCTAATTTTATGAACAAGGAAATAATATTTTCCATTTTACAGATGAAGAAATTTATGCTCATCAGAGGTTTTGAATACTGAAGGACATACAGCCAGTAAATGGGGACCCTGGTATGTCTCTTTTATCCATCTCACACTGGCTCCCCAGTGACATTTTCCTGCCTTATTTGCTGCAGTGCAGCAATCCAAATGATAAAAACAAGTGTTTATTATCGCTGCTATCTTCTACTACTCTTTGTATGTTGCAGCCTGACATTCAGAATACTTGCATAGTCATCGTCTCCTTGATTTCTGGAAGTATTCTACCTCTTCCTAGGCAGCCAGCTAGCTACTGAAAGAATCAAGGCTAGAGGCTTGGCGAACTGGTGGCACTGCCTGTTTTTCTGCAGCCAGTTCATGAGCTAAGAATGGATTTTACATGGTTGGTTGGTTGAAAAAAAAAAAATCCAGCAGAGTAATATTTTATGATATGTGAAAATTTTATGATCTTTAAATTTCTGTAAAGTTTTGCTAAAGCCGAGCTGTGCTCATTTGTTTATGTATTGTCTGTGGCTAGTTTCACCCTGCAAGGTGAAGTTTGAATAGTTGTAAGAGACTCTACGTCCTGAATGCCTCAAATGTTTACTGTTGGAACCTTTCCAAAAGTGTTGTGACTCCTGGATGAGATTGACTTATATCTGCCAGGCGTTGTTCTAAAAACTTATCTTGTACTTGCGTCATTTACTTTTCACAAAACCCTCTCAGATAGTACTATTATTATTTTTGTTTTCAGTATGAGGAAGCTGAGGCAGAGAGGTGACATAACAGAGTTCTCACAGCTTGTAAGTGGTGGAGCCAGAATTCAGAACAGTCTAATTCCAGATTAGTTTTCATTCTTAGCAATCCGAACTCATAGTATGTTTAAATAATACCAGTAAATAATTTACTACTAAAGATTGATTCTAGGCAAACTGATCATGTTACTGAAACTTTATTTCTTCACTTTATATTTTTTTTTTTTAAGAGATGAAGGTGATATTTTGAAGAGAATTTTACTGTTTACTTGGATTTGTATTTTTGTAGATACTTTATAGTCTTCTACCTGTATCTTTAAATTGCATCCCTGATTATGTCTGCAAATTATTGTTTCGTAAATGGCACATACCCATTTTTTTTTAAATCATACAAACCCAAGATACCTAGTAAACATCCTGGATTCTGTTTATGTCATATAAAAAAAGAGAAAAAGACAACAGAGGAATAAATTGATTGAATGTGAATCGTAAAATACCCAAAATAAGATAATGGCATGTGACTATGTTGGAGACTAGGGTACTTAAAAGAAAGTAGGGAAAAAAAAGGTGTAGTGATGTAAAAGCACACTGCTTTTGGAGTTAGGCGTCTTGAATTTAGGTTTGTTTGGCCATTTGCTAACTCAGCAGCATAGGGTATCACTTTCTTCAGATGTAAAATGAAGATAATAACAGACCTTCCTCAGGACTCTTGTGAAGATTGAATGAGGTAATAAATATTAAGCTTTTGAAAAGTACCTGGCACCAAGAAACCTTCTAAATATTAGCTATTATTGTTTTGGTTGTCTATTGCTGTGTAACAAACCACTCTGAAGTTGAAGTGGCGTTAAACAACAGCTATTTTAAATGTTTATGATTCTGAGGATCAACGATTAGGGCTGGACTCAGCTATGTGGTTCTGCTGGTCTTGTCTAGGATCATTTCGGGTGCTGTATGTCATCTGACAGGTTGATTGGGTCTAGATAATCTGTGATAGCCTCACTCACATGTCTGTTCGTGATGCTGGTTATCAACTGGAGTGCCTATCAGCTGGTTCTCCTCCACAGAGCCTTTCCAGCTGGCTAATTTGCAGTTCTTCATATGGTATTCTGAGAGTAGTGAGAAAGTAAGAGCTAAAACTGTAGGCTTGTGTCAGGAGGCCCCTAAGATTACCCCAGGTTGGATAATTTGCTAAGAGGACTCAAAGGACTCAGCATATAGTTGTACTCATGCTATAATATATTACAGCAAAAATATGCTAGGCAAAATCAGCAAAGGGAGAAGGTACATGGGGGTGAACTCCAGGGGAAATAAAGCACAAACTTCCAAAAGTCTTCTTTTAGGGGAGTCACACAGGATATAGTTAATTCTCCCAGCAACAAGTTATGACAGCACATGAAATGTTGTCTGTCAGGGTAGCTTTTTAGAGATTCAGTGCCCAGGCTTTTTACTGGGGTTTGAACATGTAGATATCTTTCTATGTTCCCAAATTCTAGACTAAAAAGAAAAGCCTATCAGCATAAGCTATATTGTTTGTACAATTAGTTTAAGTGCAATGAACTGTTCTTACTGAAAATCTTCCTGAAATCTTAAGTTCCCAGATGCCAACCAAGGGCCAACCCTGTAAACATGCTTTTTAAAAGATAGTAGTCTGGCTTGCCACATTAACTCTTTCTGCATCGGCCTTTGGGAACTAGATCTAGGCTTGGAACTCCTGTGATGTCATTCTTGCCACATTCTATTGATCAAATCAAGTTACAAGACTAACCCAGATTCAAAGGGGTCGAAAATAGACCACCCCTTTTGGGATAATACAGGGGTGAGAGGAAATTGACTTTCTTTGTTTAGTCTTCTGCCATAGATATTACCATCTATCTCAAAATAAATATTTTTAAAAATACAGCTCACTATGTTTGTGTCTATAATCATGTTTGCAGAATTTGCCTTTATCTGTTTTGTATTAATTTTCAGATCGATGGTTGGATTTCATTATTTTACAAGATTTGGTTTAAGAAAACTAAAGGAGAGAAAAATATGATTGGGTAGAAGTTGTATTACTCTGTTTTTCTAAATTTAATTAAAAGCAGTCGTAGTAAATATGAAATGACCTCTTGTTCACTATTTTTCTCTTACTCTCCTTCCTTACACATGTTAAATATTATTTTCTAATTAAAATATGGCTTTTTAACATAGCATTCTGTCCTACATTAAGAGGATGGCTGGGCTTAATCAGAAGTCTATCTTGGATATGATTAAAGAGTTCAGAATGAACTGGCACACTCTTTGTAACTCTGAGAGAACTACTGTGTGTG